TTTCTATCTCAAAAGAATCTGCTTGTGATTCTTACATACGTTACAAACAAAATAAAATTTGTGAAAGAATGGAAGCAGAGGAGTGGTAGGTCTGGATTCAGACATGCAGATAAGTTCAGTTTTGGTAGCAACCCTAACTACAATAAGCTTGCATCATTTTTGCTTTGTACAAGTAAACTGTGACAACGAGAACAGAAACAAACTAAATACAGTTTTCATTGCTGACGTTTAACATAGGCTGAAAGAGATGAATCTCCAAGTTTGAATGGGAAGCAAGATGGCAGTCTTCATTTTTCCTCATCTGTTCATTTCCACTTAAAGATTTCACTACAATGTAAGCATTTGGCAATCCTTTGGGAGCTGAAGGTTACACCCAACATTTCAAAGAGTAGACAACAAAATGATGCAAAGCATTTAAACTATATCACACATGTGGATGGGGCCGGTATTCTCCTTTTTATTTGATTATCCTCTTCTGGGTTTTTGGCAGGAGAGATTTGGGGGTTTAAAAGCCCATTTAATGACTACACTATATTTTTGTGTATTTTTCACTTCCAAAGACGGCCTATTCTATTGCTGAACAGTTCCTACCATTAGAACTTTTTCCTGGTTTCTAACTGAAACTTAATTTTTTGTAATTCTGCCCTTTTGCATTAGAGATCTTCAGACACCTGAAGTCATCTATCATGTCTCTGTGGAATCTTTTCTTCTCCAGCTAAATATCTAAACTCCAACGGTTCTTTATGCATTTTTCCCTTCCTGACCTTGAGTCCTTTCTTCTGGATAGTCTCTCGTTTATCAGCATCCTTTCTACAGTAAAATGCACTTGCCAGAAATGGAAACAGCATTCTAGGTATGATCTGACCAAAATAGAATAGAGAAGAACTGTAGCTTTCCTTGCTTTTGTTACTATGCTCGCCTACTGCAATGGCCTGCAAACTGAAGTTCTGAAAGGGAGATTCTGGGGAATCAAATAAAAATGAATGACTTTGTCACTTTAACTCAGGAGTCACTGAAGCAACAGCCCGCTATCTTCTCTACTGTCAATCCTGCCAAGATTTGCAATACAAATTTATCACACCACCATTAATTCAACATCAAGCTGTACAGACTTTTTTTATTTCAATTATCTTTTAGCTGACCAGAGTGATGCATTTTAATAACATTGCCAAGTTTTGATTAGATTCAACATGACTTCACTAAGAACAGTTTGTCTTGATTAAACCTGTTCCAAGTTTAGTAATAACAATAACTGTGAACTATTCTGTTTATCCGTTTCTAGTTATAATAAAGGTTTTTTGACTAAACCCTTAGCTCGGTGTTCAAGAAAGTTTTACCTATGCTAGCTGTATTCAATTTACTTTTTATTCCATTTTATTATCATATTTTATTTTATTATGTTTTATGTTATGTAAGGCTTGGCAGTGACCAAAATAAAGTATCCTTGTTTTTGACTTCTGCCTCTGTTGAAACAGCCCAGGCCTAGGAATCTTGGTGCCACATAGAATGTTGAAGATTACATTTGTGTGCTGCATTAAATTTTACCGCATCTCTGGTGATCTGTTAAAAAAATCTTACACTTTCTTACAGCCATTGCATTTTTGTGAATGTGGGAGTATCTGCACCTCTGATTCTACTTTTTTCTCACTTCAGATGTTTTGCTATTAGTTCAGTATCCACAATTTCATCAACTTTTTTTCAAAATTTTATTTATAATACAATTAAAAAAAACATTGGATATAACGTGACATTCCAGTATATATTCTTATCAAATTATTCCACATTTTCATCAACTCTTTACCCATTTAAACTCCAGAGAAACTAGAGAGGTGTGCATCTAATATCTAACCAATGTTCTTGTTATTGCTGGTGTGAAAAAATGATGCTGTCAGTCTGTACTGTATGTGATGAAGTAAAAGTGAAAATAACTGGATGATGAGTTACAATCCCAGTGCTGCCTTTTGGTTTCTCCCATGCCTGTGGATGAAAATGGAAGTGTCCCTTTGTTTAATACTACCAGACTGCAGAGAGATTTGTTTTTCTTTGCTGCCATCTAGTGGTCTCCAGATTTTTGCAGATCTGTAATTCCTACCAAGGATTCACTATACATTTTGCACACAGGTCCTAGGTTCAGTATTCTGTGTATACTGGAAGGGCAGAAATGTTTATGAATACACCCAGAAAGCTATATTAAAATGCAAACCAGCAGACCTTCAAATAGCAAAAAAATATGCCAGCATAAATGCCAAGCTTTATTTTCGCTTATTGACAAAGCTAGCTTTTCTGAACACAGATCTAGCGTTCTTTCAAAAGAGTGCTAGACTCGTGTTCAATGACAGCTGGCAGGTCACAGACACAGAAGAAGTGTTATGAGAAGCACCAAGTGCACTTTTTCAGCTTCACCTTGTACCCCTCTTTGTATCTCAGATTTGTCAGCTAGAATGAGAGATATGGAGAAATATGGGGTGAAGTGGGAGAAAGCAATCAGTAACTACTTTTGATTAGTTCATATTTTTTCCACATCTAATTAAGCCAACAGTGCTATTTCAGTATTACCAGCATACAATCCTAGATGTCTACCAACAGTCTAATATTATCAGGGGTATGACATTGTTTCATAAAACTTTTCATACCAGATAATTTATTGTTGGTAGTACTCTTATCTGTATCAAAGCATCTGTTAATCTTTGTCTCTATAATTACAAAAAAAGATGTCAGATAATTTCTACAATCCTTCCCTATTTTTAAAATAAGATATATATTTTAAAATAATAGAAAACCTATGATATCAAAAAAAGTGTATAAGAAAAGTTATATATGCTTTGTAGAAAGAAAGAAAAAGAGCTCAAGGCAATACAGCATAGAGGACAGTGCCTAGCAAGTAAATGAAAATGGCCATTAGTGGCACACACATGCCAGCTCCTAATGATTTGGTTATCAATCAAAATCTTAAAGAAGTATGCTAGATTGTTTTCCTGAGAAAAACTGTGCCAAAAAGAGAGAAAATATTACTTTGAACAGGAAGAAATAACAATAGACTTATATACCGCTTCACGTTGCTTTACAGCCCTCTCTAAGTGGTTTACAGTGTCAGCATATTGCCCCCAACAATCCAGGTCCTCATTTTACTGACCTTGGAAGGATAGAAGGCTGAGTCAACCTTGAGCCAGTGAGAATTGAACTGCTGCAGCCAGGAGTCAGCAGAAGTCGCCTGCAGTACTACATTCTAACCCCTTCACCACCAATTCTTTAGCTGTGGGAAGATGAGGAAAAATGAAACATGCTGAGAACATCTCATATACACAGTTACCATAGCATACTCATGCCCAGATAGATGAATATCGGCATGACTGTACGCTGACACAGAAATTAGCTTTATTCAGTGAGGTTCCTGTTGTTGCTATATTTGCACATCATACTATTGCAAAATATAATGTATTAATTTGGGGCCAGTATTTTGGATTAACTCTGTCATTGTAGCTTATTCTACACATCATACACGTCAGTGTACTATATGAACCCAGTTTTTATGTAGTTTATAGTCCTTCTAAATTTAGTACCTGGAAGTGCCTTAAACACTGTCTAAGCAATATCGACATTACACTAGACTAAACAGGAAAATGCTGGATCCATTGTATTATCAGGGTTAGGAAACCAAATTTCCAGCTTCTGTGTTCTTTTACCTAATTTTATGGAATAAATTATTCTGAAAGGTTTTCAATAGATAATAGGTTATGGCAGTCTTTTATAACTTGATGCTTCTAGAAATGTTGGAACTTCATCTGTCAGAATTCCAATAATGACACAGTTGGGGAATGCTAGACTAGATTCACACCCAGCCTTCCCCAATATTAGCAGAAATTTTAGCTGTTGTCAGCATATATAAAAATATAAATCACTGCAATGGACAGGAAAGAAGGAAGGACAAGTTGTCTACTACAATTTATAGGAAGGAAGAAAATATAACCAAATGACACTTTGTTATTAACCCATTTCATTTTTCAGCTTCAATAGCAAATGTACTGTCGTCTTTCAAGGTCATATTATTTCTAGTACAACACTTTCAGAATAACTTGCTTTGAGATCTGGACACCGTCTGATGACAGACCAACGCCTTACAAGGTAACAACTGACTTCAGATCATTTGCACATCTCTATTGATGTGTGTTCAAAATATTAACTGCTTGTCTGCCTTGGTATATCTGTAGAAGGTTGCCAAGTAATAAAAGTACCATCCCACTCCAATTTAGAAAGATTTGTAAAATCACTTAGATTTTTAATTGGATATAAGTTAAAAATTGAAGAATGTAGAAACTTTTGATAGGAGCAATAAATTAACTCAGAGAATGTCCTAAAAACCATTCTTGTTGCACTGGTGTGTCGAATTATCTATAGACATCTTTTTTTCCTCTTATCATTGCCTATTAAGAGCATTTGGTCACCACTTCCGAAATATTAATTGCTCATTAAGAACCATTGCTGCTTTATAAGCTGAGCATTGTATTGTATTTGTAAGCTCTATATTGAATATTGTGCTTATTTTCACCTTCCTTTTAAATATTTATAAACAACAACGCAACACTAGCGTTAAAAACAAACTATATTAAAACTATCTTAAGAATTAAAAGTTAGATTGACTAAATTAAATTAATAAATTAGAATTAAAAGTCGACTTTTGAAGTAAATATGACAGTATCTTTAACTGTAGCATCAGATTCTTTAGAAATGACCGAAGTTCAAGAACATGTTCTGGTTATAAACTGGCCAGTTGCAGGTAAAAAGTCTTCCAAACTTTTTTTAAAAAACGCCAGTTCGAATTTGTTGCTGATGAAAAGATCGCAAACGAAAAACGAGGAGAAACGAAAACACGCGACTTCTCCGACGCCTCTCCGCAAGGACGGAACGGAAAGTTTGGGGTATAAATTCCCGCCCGGCGGAGGAGGAAGGTTGCGCGCAGAGCGGAATATCACTGCGTTCCCGCGGTTTCCGCTCCCCTGTTCTTTTCTCTTCCTTCCTTTCTCCGCTCTTGCCGAGATCCGGATCCAAGATGGAGTCTCTGAATAAAGCGGGGCAAGAGATGAGCCTGGCGGCCTTAAAGCAGCACGATCCCTACATCACCAGCATTGCCGACGTGACCGGCCAGGTGGCCCTTTATCGCTTCAGTCCAAAGGCCAACGAATGGGTGAGTGGCCTCGAGGCAGAGGAGGGTGTTGATAAAATGCGTGGTTTCCGACACCGCTTCCCACGGCGGTGCCTTAGCGGTTCGTGGGGCGCCACCGGTTTCTTGCCGCCGCCGCCGCCCCTCACGGAACGAGCTTCTTGCTTGGGGCAGAAGGTTCTAGCCCCAAAAGCTAGAACCCCAAGGAGCACAGAACCGCTCTTCAAGAGCTCAGAAACACACCCACTTTCTTGGGCTGAGGGGTCGCCGTTTATCGTTCACCTAGTTTTCTCTCTGTAACCGTATTTTGTGGTGTTCCTACGATTTGATTTTGTTTTGTGGTAAATTAAATGGGGGGGCAGGGAATGAAATAAATTTTATTGAGATACATAGCTGGAGAAATCACTTCTTTCCCCCATTCCTTTGTAGGAAGATGAACCAATATCTTATTTTATAAATATTTTATAAAAAATAAAATCAGTTTAATTTAAAAAGAAACAGGAAATATAAAAAGTTGTTTTAAAAACAAATATATTTATGTGGAATAGAGTATAATACTCAAAATACAAACCAAAAGATATCAAAATCAAAAGGCTCTAACAGACCAAAAGATAATACTGTTGTTTCTAATTTGAATAATTTCTGCTCTAAACAAATTCTAAGTGACATAAAGCAGTCATTGAGTTTGCATAGAGAAACTAAATATTAGAGAAAGAAATTAAACTTAAATAGCATGTGCTGAAAAAGAAATATATTAAACTTAAATATAGTACATTGCTGAAAAAAGGAATACATTGAATTTAAATAACACATGCTGAGAAAGAAATTAAATTTAGTACAATTCTTGGCTAACTTTTTCTTATTCCTCCAGAACAATGTTTCTTAAAGTGTGGTTCCAGGACTCCGAAGTCCTCAAAATCAAAATTATTTGCTAACTTATATTGAAAAATAATATATTAAAATTCCATCATTGATAGTGTGATAAATCAATTTGGTGTGGCTGGTTTGGCAAACTTAAATGCTGCTGGTTTTAATTGTTTCCTTCTCTCTACTGCTGCTCTGAACAAAGTATATTTACATGAAAATATAAATATATTTTAATTTATTTTAAATTTATTTTAAAAATGAAATATTTGCATTCATTTAGTTGTTTGAATAGAATAATTTTATTTATTAAGTCTGTATGCAGTCTAGTTCCCAGTGATTTTAAGTTATGTTATTAGAATCTCTGTGTTCTGCCTATGAAGACTGCCTTGTTTGAATAGGAATAACCTCATAAAAACTGATCTAGGACTAAAAGTTATTTGAAAGGTTGTCATATGAAATGTTTTTGTACTGCAGGTTCTTGATGTTGGAAATCAAGAACTTTTTACTGTAACAGTGGAAACATTTTTGTTCTGGATTCTTAGAGATTCTTGTTCTTCAATTTTCCTGCTGACTAGTTTTAATTTGAATGCTGTCTAACAAACCTTGGCCAGTTTCAGAAGAACTAAGCAGGATGAGATCTGTTTAGTACTTAGATGGAGACCACTAAGACTTTTAGGTTAGAATGAGAAGTCAAATTTAAAAAAAAGAATAGGAAAACACAATGGCAAATATGTTCCATAGTGTTGCCAAGAAAATAAACTGTGTTGATGTCAGCACCAGAAGCTGACTGTAACTTGATAGGTTCATTGCTTTCTTTGAAGTTGCCTTTGATAATCATAACAAGCATAAGATCAACTATAAAATATTGTTGATGATCTCTTAGTTGTACATCTACATTTTTCAGACTCTTGACTTCTTAATTTTATATTTTCTTGATTTCTATCTGTACACTTTGTCCCTGCAGTGAATAAAGTGAGCAATATAGTATAGTCCAGTGATGGCGAACCTATGGCACGGGTGCCAGAGGCGGCACTCAGAGCCCTCTCTGTGGGCACGCGCGTCGTAGCCCCAGCCCTAGGCCTTCAGCTGGGTTTTATAAAACCTTTTCGCTTTAGACCTCTGCCACCATGTGCAAAACAAAAAAAAAAGGTTCAATCAATCAATTTCAACTTCTCGCGGGAAAAAAAAAGTTCTTGCGAAGTTGGAATTGATTGATTAAACTTTTTAGTCCCACCCAGTCTGCCGTTATCACTGCAGCCATGCCCATCCAATTGGCCACACCCACCCAATTGGCCACACCCACCCAGCACTCAATGCATAAGTGGGTTTTGGGTTGCAGTTTGGGCACTCAGTCTCTAAAAGGTTCGCCATCACTGGTATAGTCACTCACATGAACTCTTGATGAAAGCATATATTCTTTTTCATGTGTCAGATTTGAGTATGACAATTCATTGCTCTGAGATACAATATTGTGTGACAGAAACTTCTTTAAATTTGTAATCCATCAGCATTAGCATTTTATAGTGACTTTACCTGGAAAAAAACAAAAATGTGTTACATGTTTAACTTTGCTACTGATGGTATGATTAATATTAAAAATTACAAAACTTTCTTTTATTAATATGCTTGCAGAAGTTGCTAGATTAATAAACAATGTAGCTTTATTTATTTATTTATTTTTAAAAAAGGCTTACTATTACAAAAACCATGACTTTATATCATTAATTTGAAGACTGTAATTATAAACTTTTGTAATGGTATATTTTCCAAGTCAACTATTATGCAGTCGATATTTCTGAAATTATTTCTAGTGTAGGTATTAATGAATTGTTATCAGGGTGAATCTTTGGATTGTTCTATCCTCTACTGTTAAATTAAATCAATCCCATTCATTATGTCATAGTTATAATTTTTTATTTAATGAAACTTAGGAATGCAACAAATGACCATCTGCTTGAATTAATTTGTTATTGTTTTTCTTTGTTGTAGGAGAAGACTGACATAGAAGGTACCTTATTTGTATATAAAAGGTAATGAAATAACTTTCAGGAATAATTGGATTAACAGTATAGTAGAACATAGTCTGTGATATTTGTCTCTTGCAGATATAATATTGTATTTACTTAGGGCAATTAAGCAGTATTGCATTATTCATAATCAGTGCTATGGTTGTATAATGTATTGAAATGAATCCAGAGATGCTGTGTCTCTGAATAATGGTTCTGTTTGGCAATGGGCATTTTTAAAACTTAGTATAAAATCTTTGGAACTGTGCTTCTGTTTGCACAAAGCTCTCCATAGTCTCCTGCAGAAAGTCTCAAGGATTGTGCGTATGCAGACTATTGCTAATTATCTTGTTCTCTGTCTTTTCTTCATTTTTCAACTTACTCTTCAATGGCACTTGAAGAATGCCGCGGCTGTTAACCTTTCTTCTGCTTTTGCAGATCAGTTTATCCATAATTTGTTTCCCTTGAAATAATAGGTCTGCTTCACCTTACCATGGTTTTACAATTGTAAATCGATTGAATATGCACAACTTGGTTGAGCCCGTAAACAAAGACTTGGAGTTTCAACTTCATGAACCTTTTCTTCTATATAGAAATGCCAACTGTAAGTATGCATTTGAATATACTATTTAGGAAATATCATTTTTAGAAGTTTAGAAAATTTTGCCTATTTAAGTGCAGTAAAATCTCAGTTTAACACTTTTTATTTAAAGGATTTTTGGATTTAGTGCAGAAAGTTTGACTTCACAAAGGCCACTAAGTATGAAATCTGTCCAAACAATTGATGTATCTATGTGATTATGATGATGCAAATTTATGCAAATGACATTGTTTAATAAACATATTTATGAATACCTTTCTTTCAAAGGGTATGTTGAGTCAGAATTTTACTGTTTAGGTGTGACATGATGTTGGAGAGCAACTGTCAAAGTCAGGAGGAAGACTCAAGTGGGGGGATTACTCTGGACTCAGAGTAAGAGGGCAAGGTCTAATCCCCACCCCCAGTCCCCCTTTGAGCCTTATCTAGTATTTTCCAGGTGAAAACTGCCAGTCTGGAGAGATTCCTGTGAAATAGGCCTAGAACAATAAGTAGCTAAGTTGAACTTATATGTGTAGGTCTGGTTATTCACGCCTGACACACAATGAGAACAAGTTAACACTCAATTTAGGTGGAATGGATGCAATTAGTTGAGGAAAATACATAGAAAAATTAAATCTATGAAAGTATTAGAATGGAAAGCCTTTACTCTGGCTCAGCGTCATGCCATTCCCTGAGCTATCCTTGAAGACCAACAGGAAAATTCCCTACCTAGAGAGACAATGCCCCTATGACTCTGGATACATAGAAACAACAGAGTATGTACTTCTCCAGTGCCTGTATTACAGAGACATTTGTACTAGTTTTATTAATGCATAAATACCCAATGTGCACAAGACAATTCTTCATCTCCCTGCTGTTTGCAGATACTAAACCTGCTACAGCATATACTGTAATATTACCAGGGTCTGAACAGCAGTGTTTAAAATCTGTCAGATGATGACCTGTGCCATAAGTTAATCTTAATGAGCACTTAATTCATTATTCAAGTGTGTTTTTGTATATGACAGATTTAGTTTGCGAAATGCTAACTTTTGTGTTCCCTTACATCTGCTTAATATTTCTATCCCTCCTTTCAGATTTTTTTACTCTTGATTTTTACAGTTTTTATATATTTAACTTTTTAAAAATTAGACTTGGATCTATCTTTTATATATATATATATATATATATATTGTCCAAATAATAATGATCACCAAGAGAATATCTATAAAAATAGAAATTTAATTCACCGAGCTTTCGTCAAATACACTTGACATCGTCAGGGTTAAAAGGCAAACTACGGGGGGAGTCTTATATACAGTTGTTTAATGCCTGTTTCCGGCTCCTGGAGCGCGTCATAGGCCCCAGCTGATCGGGCTGAGCCCTAAGCATACGCCCCACATCAGCATCTATCTCCGTTCCATGGTTAGTTTGAGTTCGATTATATGTTGCTTCGTTAGTTGTTACCGGGTTGGGAGCCCAAGTCCTTTTTCCTTCCCTATTCGTAACCCCTCCACCATCCCAGACATCACTTCCCTTTGTGAGCGGGGGTAGGCAATTATCCACACTGCCTTCAATATCACTACATGCCCCAAGGCTGCTTTGATCCTGTTTTCCTATCTCCCGGGATTGTAACACAAGCTCGTAGTCCCCCCCCATGCTATTCCTCCTCCCCTCCTTCTTCCCGTAGGTTCTCCTGAGCGGTCTGCTGTTCGTTTCCACGCTCTCTCTCTTGCGCGCAGTCGCGATGTTTCTTGCCGTTGTTCCGTTATCAGTGCTTCGTTGTTCCGTCCATTGTTGGAGAGCACTACTGCCGTTCATCCCCAATTCTCCGTTCCCACTCCATATAGTGCTCTTCCCCTTTAACTGCAATCGCTGTTTTGTCTCGCAACTTGGTGTTGGGAGTATCCGAGGGGGATGCATTCTTCTACTCGACTGTGACCGGGTTGTCATGGTGTGTGTGGTGCGTGTGGTAATATCCTCAACGGGGGGTTCGTCCTCGGTCTCGTCATCTTGGTTGAGCTTGGTTGTATTCCGTTTTTCTTTCAGTTCATCGGGCTCTACTCCATCTCCATTCCGTCCTACCAATGATCCGTTCTCTATGGGTCGTGGCGCACTCAGCCGCAGTTGCTTGCTGGAATCAGTCTGTTGTTGATCCGGGAGAGGGGAGCTGTCAATGGAAACTCCATTGCTGTAATTACGTAGGGAGGAGGCCAGGGCGGCTTTTTGATTGGGTCCCCTCCCCATATCAGTACGATTACCAGTACTCCATATTTTTAGAGCTTGGTGCGCTGCGCACAAATCTACACGTCGATTGATAGATTCCGTTCCTGAGAACCATGCCTCTTTCAATAGGCGACCTCTTTTTGTCATATCATTGGCCAAAATTTGTGCGTTCTCAAAATCGAAGCGATGGCCGTGTTCCGCTACATGGGCCCAGATCTGCGAATGTTGCTCGCCTCGTTTAATGGCCAGTTTGTGCTCGTGTAAACGAGTCTTGAGTCTTTTCGAGGTCTCGCCTATATAATGGCTCTGGCAGTCTGTGCAGTTGATTCTATATACTACAGCTGACCTCTCGACAGTAGGGAGCTGGTCCTTGGGGCGCATCACTTTAGCTCGTAGAGTCTGGGTAGGTTTGTGAGCTACCTGTATGTTGTGGGGTGCTAGGATTCTGGCAGTGGCTTCTGACACGTTGTTGATGTATGGTAGTGACACTCGTACGGTTCGTGTCCCAGGTTCTTCTCTTTGTTGTCCATTTCGAGGTCCTGGTACCATACTGTGTCGCTTAATAAATCTTGGGGGGTACCCATTCATCCGGCATATACGGAACAGGTGTTTTCTTTCTTCTGCCTTAGACTCCCTAGTGCTACAGTGCGATTGCACCCGTTTAAACAGGGTCTTGATGCAGCTGGCCTTATGGGAGGCCGGATGGTTGCTATAGAAATGGAGGATGCGATCCGTGTGGGTGGGCTTCCGATAGACCCTGGTGTTAAGGGTTCCGTCTAGGGAACGTTGGACTAACACGTCCAAAAAGGCTATCGAGCCCCGGATCTCCTCCTCCATCGTAAATTTAATGTCCGGATATATTGAATTTAATACTCCCATAAAGCCAGCCAGATGACAGCGTTTGACGACAGCAAAAGTGTCGTCAACATACCGTGCCCAGAACTTGGGCTGTTGACGGGTCATGGCCTCGTGTTCCAGTTGTTGTAGAACCGCTTCCGCCACCACACTGGATATTGGGGAGCCCATCGGTGTGCCCTTGACTTGCTCGTATATATTGTCTTGAAAGGAGAAGTAAGTTGTAAGGCATAGCTCAATGAGTTGCGCTAGATCTCCCGGTTGCAGAGAATCTCGGTGTCCAGTTTTTCCTAGTTTTTCTAATCTGTCCCTTAAGACTCTCAGGGCCAGGTCTTGAGGGATGGAGGTGAAGAGTGAGGTGACGTCAAAAGAGACCATCACCTCATCCTCCTCCACCCTAAGGGTCCTGATCCTCTCCAGGAACTCCTCCGCAGATCTAACTGTAGTAGGGCTGCCATCGACTAGGTAGGATATGCGATCACTGAGCCACTTCGCCAACCCCGAAATGGGAGTGCCTCTAAACGACACGATAGGGCGAAGTGGAATATCCTCCTTATGGATCTTTGGCAGCCCATAAAACCTTGGGAGCGCCAAGTCATTGGGCCGTATTCTCCTTAAAGTATCTTCATCAAGTTTCTTTGACCGTTTAAAACCGGTCAATTTCAACGTCGTACGGTACGGGCACTCATCAATGACCAACATCGTCGAGTGGGAATCTTGAAGAGGGGAGCTGACTGCCTTCGTGAACAATGTAGCAAGGGTCTGTCAGAACAACACTTCCAAATGCTCGACCAGCACGTTCAGTTAATGGCTGAGAGAACCAACCAACAGACTGCCACACGCCTCCAACGTAAGATAGACTCTCTACGGGGACAAAAGGGTAACGGGGATATGGATAATTTGGTGCATAACTTGTCCTCAAAGACCCTTACCCGCCCCCAACTTACGCTGCTGCAGCGCGACGTAGGACATAATCTGATGGATGCAAATCTGCTGGATTTCATCGCCGCGTTAGAACCCGCCATACACCACGAGAATATGGGGGAGAATTCTATGAGCTTAATTAGGCAGCAGGTCACGGGGCTGCTTATGCGCCACAGGTACCACCAAGTGTTAACTAGGGATGAAATAGAGGCCCTAGAGCATCTCAAGAGGGACGCCACCATTGTGATACTCCCCGCTGACAAGGGGAGGGCCACAGTGGTGATGGACAGGACACTCTATGTGGCCAAAGCATTGCTATTACTAAGTGACAGGACTGCTTACAGAATTATCAAGAAAGACCCCATGGTGACCTTGAAAAATAAAATCAATAAGCTACTTGACGGTTTTAAACGGTCAAAGAAACTTGATGAAGATACTTTAAGGAGAATACGGCCCAATGACTCGGCGCTCCCAAGGTTTTATGGGCTGCCAAAGATCCATAAGGAGGATATTCCACTTCGCCCTATCGTGTCGTTTAGAGGCACTCCCATTTCGGGGTTGGCGAAGTGGCTCAGTGATCGCATATCCTACCTAGTCGATGGCAGCCCTACTACAGTTAGATCTGCGGAGGAGTTCCTGGAGAGGATCAGGACCCTTAGGGTGGAGGAGGATGAGGTGATGGTCTCTTTTGACGTCACCTCACTCTTCACCTCCATCCCTCAAGACCTGGCCCTGAGAGTCTTAAGGGACAGATTAGAAAAACTAGGAAAAACTGGACACCGAGATTCTCTGCAACCGGGAGATCTAGCGCAACTCATTGAGCTATGCCTTACAACTTACTTCTCCTTTCAAGACAATATATACGAGCAAGTCAAGGGCACACCGATGGGCTCCCCAATATCCAGCGTGGTGGCGGAAGCGGTTCTACAACAACTGGAACACGAGGCCATGACCCGTCAACAGCCCAAGTTCTGGGCACGGTATGTTGACGACACTTTTGCTGTCGTCAAACGCTGTCA